ACCAGGTTTGTTAAAGCGGCAAACCTCTATTTGTCACCACAGTTGACGGCGAAACTTTTAGTTTTGGAATGTTTAAGGCTGTCAATAAATTATTAGTAAGAACCTTCGTTATTTGAGGCTGCCCGAAGATTTCCTAATGTGAATCTAGCGGATTTTGAAACCAATTTCCCGCAAGGAAATGAGTAAGTAAATACATTTTTTTATATATGAGCAGAGTTTTGAGACTACCAGTACATAAGTTATATGATATGTATTCAACCAATTTCGTTTAAGGTGATGAAGGAATGTTAGTATAATTTCCCAACAATGATGTGAGTAGAGCTGACGTTTCCATTGAATTTCACAGGGCTTAGCTTTCCCAAAAGTTGTTCTCATCTCGGTTGGAGTGGACTGCAGTTTAGACTTCGCCTAAGTCAAGCTCACAAGTCGTTCAATCACGGTTCGACTCCCACCGGGGGTCTATGTGAGGTTAAAACTTCCTTTCCACTTCAATCGGGATGAAAAAGACTGTTGGGAAAGCAAGGGCCTGTGAAATTCAATGGAAACATTAGCTCTACTCACATCATTATGGGAAAATTATACTAACATTCCTTCATCACCTTAAACAAAATAAAGTGAGTACATCTCATATAATTCTTAGGATAGTTGTGGATTTCATGCAAGAATTCTTGTAACTCAATTCTGCTATTAGAAGAGAAAGTGATTGAATATGGGGATTTACTGGTGATTATTATGAGATTTTGATGGACATTAAGTTATTGAATCAGCTAGGATGCGATCGGGAGTAAACTTAAGCAGATTCGTGTGATTTACACATTTACGCGATTGATCATTACTGTAATAATTGAATATCAATTATCGTTAATAGTCAATTGTATGAGTATACATGTGTTTTAAGAGCTGGAGCTTGTTTAGAAGTCGTTTGACCATATTTTCGCAACTTGGTCATGTTGGCATGAAGATGTGGAGGAATGCCCCTGATCCAGGATCCATAGTATGCATAATCAATTCCAAAATCTGACCGTGGACGTGGGAGTGTGAATAGGTTTTAAATTGGTTTATGCATACAAGTTAGAAATTGTGATGTTGAAGGCATGATACAAGGATATGGGAAAGGTGAATAGCCCAGGACAGTAGGAGAGATACCACAACTGTTTAACACATGTTTGGTCAAACGATCGACTTCACTTATCTCTTTGACGAGTTGTAGTGTGTTGCTAAGACTGGCATGATTCATCGACGATAGCGAAACGTCTTGGAATGTGCCATGTCACACGGTCCGACTCTGGAAATGATGATGCATACAATGGACTCCGGACAAGGTGCGTTTCTCTCGGTCTTCCTACCAAAATGACCAAGTTGCGAAAACAAGGTCAACCAACTTCTATACCACGAACGGAGACCGTGACCATACAAGAGGCCACACCATCCTGGTCTCATATCGGGGAACTTCTTCTACCAGTTCATCATCATCTTAAACGAAATAGGGTAAATACATCACATATTACTGATTTACTGGTAGTCACGAAAACAATACTTAATTCGAAAAATAAAGTATAGTAGTCTATTTTTATGGAAAATATAGTTCACTTCATTGGCACTGCCCACCAAAGTATATGATATAGCAAAATGGCCTGACCTTCCTTAAAAGTCCACTGTCTGATGTTGGGAAGCATGACAACTACTCTGGCAGACTAATTCGGACTAGGTGCGTTCTGATAATTCGCCATGACAACAAGACCAAGTTGCGACAACGAGGTCATCTTACTTCTATAAATCGAAAGGATACTGCGACCATACCAGAGGCCACAACCTCGTGGTCTTCATATCTTCAGTTAGGCCTTCTTGCCTCGGATTTCGGTGAGACCATTTCATACTTAAGACCAATAGCGACCATTCGAAAGGTCCATTGGCCGGAAGGCTTGAATGCTACAAAGTCGCCAACCTGATGGAGGCCGGACGAGATGACGTTGCGCTGGTTGAGCAGCTGAATGCTGCGGATGCCGGTAAACGTCATCGCGCCCAGCGGCAAGAAGAAGGACAAGAGGCTGCCGTAGATGAGAAATGCGTTCGAGCCCAGCATGTACTCGGTCTCGGCCGGAGAAAGCTGGCCGGCCTGGCGACTTTTCGCCTCTGGCGAGGGCATCCTCGACTGCCATGTCATCCGACCCGGCCTGCTCGGTCCGGCAGATCGCGACGCCTTCGACAAAGTGTCATCTTCACGCGTTGTCAGATTGCCCCTTTTCTGACCGGCGCCTGGGCCGTCTGGAGCCGGCGAGTTTGACGTCGGCTGCAGTTGCTCGACAGTTGGACCGATTGTACCAATCGCGAGCGGTGCACGTGTCCCCGAGGCAGCGGACTTGTGCCCGGTGCCGCGTCGCAGACCGGACGGCCCCAAAGGCGTCGGATGCCGGAGGTAAAGGGAATTGTGCGAATGGGATTGCAGTGATTTGAGCGTCTTGTTCGGTAGGGTTGATGAGTCAAAGTGGCTACTTGGCTCTGGCGAAAGGTCATGAATCTTCTCTTCTGAGGAGGAAGGAGGAGCTCCGACCGAGAGTGCACTTAAAGTGGCGGAGGAATGAGGAGAGACGGAGTCTGGAGGGGATGGCGGCTGAAAGACTTTGTTGGGAGACTCCGAGGTGGAGGGCGATCTGAACGCGGCGGAAGGTTGATTGCTCGAGACCATTTTGGGGAGTGTGTAGGTCGAGGAGTCCGAGGCCGGAGGGAAGATGACGGAGAGGTTGGAGTGCGAAGCCGAGTGTGTGTGTGAGTGTGAGTGTGAGTGTGAGTGTGAGTAGGCGTATGAGGGAGGAGATGAACCGATTGACGCGTTGACGGAGATGAGTCGAGCAGGCGTGGGGGCTTCGACAGAAGCGGTATGTGCGAGAGGAGCTGGCCTGTGCTCGGGTGTGTTTGATGTCGTCACGGTGGCTGAGTGTGTGTGGTTGTGTGGGTGTGGGTGTGTGTGTGTTTGAGTGTGTGAGGAGGTGGTGTTCACGTTAGTGGGAAGGTAGGCAGGAGCGAGCTCGAGGATGAGCGTCTCGATGAGCACGGCCAAACTGATACCGGCCGCCATGCCCCACGAGGTGGCCAGCAGGCTGCGCACGTGTCCACGGGACACGGTGTACCGGACTCGATAGGGATACGCGATGGCCAGATAACGGTAGACCGAGATGGCGCCGAGATTCATGATGCTGGCGGCGGAGAGAAAGACGTCCAGACAGAACCAGATCAGCTTGAGCCAAAAGCCTAGACGCCAAACTCCGTTCACCTGAGTCGGGAAAATAAGGGTTTGGGCAGCAAAATGGTGCGCGACAAAGACCAGGTTAAGGATTGAGACAAACAGTCCGGAGGGTTGCAGGAGTCAGCTTAATTTTGCAATAATACGTTTTCAAGATTACTCATTATGGTAGATACGAAGAAAAACAGGGTTCTGATGAATCTCTTGAGATAACACTGCTAGGGGAACCTTTATTTCGGATGAAAGTGCATGCAAAAGAGATTCGTTGGTTGATCCCACCAGACACAAACGGAAAAATCTCGTTGTGCTGCAGCCATTTGGATTTTATACGATTTTCATGCCGATGCATTCCACAAGATTTCCTCCCTCGTTTCAGGTGAAAACGAGCTGAGCTTTCGTCCATCATTCAATGGACATAATCAGAGCTGGGAGTCATTCTTGTAGAATTCTTACGTTAAAACCTGGTCAAGAAGACTATCCGGCTTTGTCTTACCTCTTGTATAGACCCAGTTAAGCCTAAAGAACAGAAAAAATTTAGATATATCCATATTGAGTGGTTTGGTTAATTATCCTTTACACTTGTTTGTTACTTTTGCTCGGGTGTATGCGTATGTGCCTGTGTGCGTGTTAGCGTCTATACGCAATACCGGTCATAAATCATTGTTAAGCTCTGAGCCCTTTCCGAGACTGCGTAATTCCGTAGGAAAGTATAATTGAGATGTCAGATTACGCAACCTCAGTCTTGCTTTTTCTTGGAGGGTTGAACGTAAATGACTCTTGAC